CCAATATAATTCCTCCAATGAAAAGCACAAGAAAAATTCAATAGTCAATGCCAAGGCAAACACTAAATGAGCTCAATCAATTAAAATGAAAGATGGAGAAGTGGCGATCACCTTTTTTTATTTAAGAAGCCATTAATTTTCAAATACTAATACTTTGTGTAATTTGTAGGAAAATATGTATTCCGTCAAAATGCAAAGTTGTCAAGGTTAAGAATGGATGATGTTATGTTGGATGCGAAACCTGTCCACTAATAATCGAAGAAGACTAAAAAAAAAAAAAAAGACTCCAATGATTACTTCTGTGAGAATTGTACACAGACATTAAAAACGACAATATCAAGGTAATGCTACAATTATTAATATGAAATTTGATTTGGTATAGTTCGATGATGAATATACATGCCAAGTGATTGAATATTTAATTTTCCATGACATAATTGTATTAAAATGTTAAATTAAATATGGTTAGATTCCAAGAGATCGGCGTCTTAGATTAAAAAATGGATATGAGAATGAGGCTATGTTATCTTCTGCCCACCTACCGTACCTAATGAGACTATTTTCGTATTATTGATTGAATAATTATGAGATTTTTTATTTAACACCTAAAATTAGCGTGTACTTCAAAAAATTCAAAAAAAATTATGGTATAAACATCATTTATACATGTTTAGGATCAACCTTTGAGTTGCGGACAAAACAGAGAGGCTGGCTTTGTTGTTATGGATAGAGTGGGAGCTTGATTTTTTGGAATGTCGGCTGGTAGGCTATTCCAAGACAATGATAGAATTAGAGGACCACCTGCTCATCTCCTACAAATTGAGGGAATGACGTTGCAGTATGACATCAAGCTCACAGATTAAAACATCGCTAATCCAACAAGTGAGTACACAATTATCAAGATAGGAAAGGACGAGGAGGAGCAGACCACCGACGATATTCCTGACTTGATTGAGGTAAATAATATTTGAATCAAAATGATTATCAATATTAATTACAAATTTGCGCTATTCTCAATTGGATTTGGATTTTTTACCATGCACATGTCATACTTTATATTCTTTACACTTAGTGATATCATGCAACTGTCAGATGAAGGGAGCTAAGGGTTTAATTACCAGGATTGGCTTGGATGAACGGAGCTGAGGGTTTAATTAATAAATTGGGATTTAGTTATTTAACAGTCATACCGAGCTTGCTGCAAAATGGAAGAACACATTTTATTTCTTTCACGGCTTGCTTGGAAATATGGAGGATCTGATATTCTTAATCTTTGTATTCGGTGTGAAACTTTGCTTCCTTTCCCACTAATTTGCAATCAATTATATCCGCCTACTATTTTATCTACAATATATATTGACAATCATGATTCAATGAAACCACACAATGTGTTATACTTTTTAATGTCAAATATCTAAATTCATAATGTTGATGCAAGATAACAAGAATGACACTGCCAATGGTGGAGGTAATGGATTCGGTGCTACAGATAATGATGATGTTCAAAAGAAGAAAGAAATTGATCATGAGGAAGATATAAAGACTGGTGATGGGAGAAAGAACAAAACCTAAATATCGTTCGTAAATTGGATGAGATAAATTCTACTCCAATAAAAAAGATGATTTATATTGGAAAATATATTTTACCATCAAATGTTTGTGCTCAATGAAATGCAGGAAAACAAGGAAGAGATAACTGAAATGTAAGAGAAGAAGGAATTGTCAATTGATATTGGAGATAAATGTGTCGCTAATGGAAATGAATACATTATTAAATGGTGACAATGAGTTTGATACTCATGCCAGAGGAAATGCAAATAAGCCAAAAAGAAAACGTGCACTAATCTCCAAGGATAGGAGTTAGAAGGGTTATTTTAATTGATCTTTAGGAGTCGGTTCCCTTGCATGAGATTTCCTTTCATTTTTGTAAAAAGATTTTAATCGATTAGTCATTAATATGTCGGAAACAATACAATGTTAATAATTTTGAATTGTTGAACTATTTTTAATAAGTCGAATTCTCTTATTCTCCAAATCGATTCGAATGTTTAGAGTATTTGAAGAACATAGAATTTCTTATACTAATGTGAAACTCAAATACAAATTACTACGATTATTTACGTAATTGACAACTGAATCCGACCAACTGACGGGCCTGTGACTAGTTTACAATATCGTTGGGAATCATTTCCCTTCTTCTCTTGCTGGGTTTCAAATTTCAATTTCTGTGAGGAAATTGGTGCTTCAAATTACAGGCCATTTGTATAAACAAACTGGTACTGCTAGATGACAACAAATTCAATTGTTGGGGCTGCTCTTGATTTAAACTCCAAGGCAACTCTTACGGCTCTCTCGACTAGTTCGTCACGGCAGCCATGACAGTAAACATGGAAACAATATCTGCAGATCACCATGTCTCCATCAGCGGAGCTAGGATGCTTACAATCCTTATAGCCAGGGATGCTGCGACGGTGGTGACACGAGCGCACATAAGCATCACTATAAGATTTGGTTAATCCTCGATCAACTTCAACTACTATCTTCTCGAGCCCAACGAAAAATTCCAGCACATGCTCCATAAGCTCGCACTCAATTTCACACCCTTGGAATCCAATAATTTCCACCACCTTAGTGCTCTCGTGATAAACTTTGACAGCCCTAGGTACCTCAATTTCTTCTGGAAACCAATCCATTCCATTGTCTTTAAATGGCCGCATCTGCAGATAACATATAGATCACCATTGCACAAATATGCAATATTTGGTTAACACAAATAGATGCTCCAACTTGCTAACGAATGGTATGAAACAGCAAGAAAAATAACAATAGAGTACCAGGAGCCTTAGAGTGTGCAATTTAGGCAAAGGGTTCATTAAACCAAACAACGCCATGATATTCTGTTTGCGTGTTAAAAGATCCTTGATAGTTAGCAACTTAAGATTGGTGAGTGCACCCAAATCCCGCAACCTCAACATACCAACCTGCAAAAACAAATGTGAAACAAGAGTCGGATCAAGAAAGTAAACATATGTACTTTTTATAGATTGACAAAATCACACTAAGCATGAGCGATAGACTTACCCTAAGAAACGCCTCCCCTAGTGTAAGGGATGTCAATTGACCAAGGAAACTGGAAAGGTCCCGAAAAGCAAGATCAAGCTGAGATGGATAAATAGTGACATCCACAAGAGAGACACAATTCTTCACATGCAATTGGAGATCCCGAGCAGACAGAAGATATACAAAATTTGTGAGGTGAGGGGCATTGTCAATCTCAAGCCATTTTAGAGAGTTGCAATCCATTAGTTCCAGTCGCTTCAATGGAAGTGGAGATGATGTAGAGCCCACAATCATGAGTTTTACTAGCATTGGAGATGAATTTTCCACGGATAACTCTTCGAGTAAGGGAGAATTAGCAATAAAGTGTTCAAGAATCTCACCTCTCACATTGACATAACTTAACCGCAAGCATTTGAGGTGCTTGATATTGGAGATTCCAGCTGGGGTTTTCATGTGATTGAAACATTCCTCGGAGAAATCATAGACACGGGGGTGATACACCCCAGTCAAACACAATTCTAGGGAGCAGACTCTTTTTGATATAGCAAACTCCAACAATGTATCCAAATCTCCCTTAGACTTGCATCCCTTGTCCAAGAAAAACTCAGCCTTGACCTTTGTTACTTTTGAGGCGTTCGTCCACAATTGACGCACAACCCCAATCATCCAATCATTCACATAACGACGCAACTCATCACCACTGTAATTGTTGTTTGGGAATTTTTTCTTGAAAAGAGGAACCACTTTTGAAGCATCAAAGTCCAACACCAATTCAGCTGATTTCCAAACATTTACCCATCTATTTGAGAGGATTGAAGTCCTAACGGCTTCACGAAAGGCCAAGAAGGAAATAATTTTGAAGAGGATTTCATCCGGAAGTTTACTAATCCGATCCACACAGTCACAATTATCTACTTCATCTCTCTGTTCTTCTCCCTACCACCACATATTATACAAAGAAAGGAAAGAATATTAACACAATAAACAACCAAAGTTTTCAACTTATTATCATTGCTTTGCAAAGTGATGAAGCTAGCATTTGATAAAAATAAAAGAGTATCTAAACTTACTTCGTGAATAGAGCCGACTGGCGTCTTCACTCCGCATTCTTCTTTCTAAACAAAGAAAATATAGAGAAACGACATAAAAATTGACATAGGTAATAAGAAGGATTAGTGTGAACACAAATCATCGGAAAAAAGCTTACTCTTTGAACCCTGAAGCCAGATCCCGACGCCATTGTTAAAGCAATATCCAGCCCTCTGAATTTAAAAGTCGAAAACCACTACAAAAAAAACAGAGAATATCAAAGCAAGAAATCAACAGCATAGAGGCCAGAGTCGAGAAATCAGCATTACTAGGTTGCAAAATCCAATCAACAGCATAACTCAAGTGATCTTGAAATTGGATCAGTCCTTGGATTCACAAGGATTATGTGTCTGTGCTCCACGCAGGGTGGTTGAGCCAGAGTGTCTAACTAGGTACTCTATTTCGTTGCTCAACTAAGGACAGGCAATTATCAAATGCCCGCAAACTACAAATGAGATCGAAGTTGTTCCGATAATGTATTCAGTTTCAATAATGGCTATGAAGCATTAGTGGGAAAAAGCAATCGTGCAACCCTGGTCCAAATTAACGCTGAAGCGTTTAGCTCCACAAAAATCGACAAAAACCCTAAAAATCAACAGCGACCAAGGAACCCTAAATCGACACGAAAAGAAGCTCACGTACCTGGTTCAATCTTCTACGAAGAGAATCGCAGACCTTGCTCTTTGCATCAATCAGACGCCGCCGGAAAGTACGGCTTCTTCACCGCCTTCAATCGCCGTTTCCTCAGCTCGATCGCGTTCTTTCCTTCGCCAGCAGACGAGGGGATAAGACGAAACAATAGAACAGAAAGGAAGGGAAAAGGGCTAAATAAGAATCGCGAGAAGAGTAAAGGAAACCGCCTTGCGGTGGGAAAAGGAAATCAATAAATTATAAGGAAAAGGAAGAACCGCACGCCAAGTGGGATGGCACTTGGTCGTTTGGGCGCGATTTGTCAAACCCAAACTCAAAGTTATAGGTTATCCGCTAAAAATATTCGGGGTAAAATTTATTGGGTTTGAAAAATTCAAACCCAATCCAACTCGCTGGATATCCGCGGGTTCATGGGTACCCGTGGGTTTTTGTGGTAAAAATTTACAGTAACAAGTTTCTTTCAAAATAAAAATTTAACATCAATTTCTCATACAAATTAATCATACAAAAAACACCAATCTAGAGTATACCAGCAAATCGCAAATGATCAATACAAATTGTTCAAAATTAAAGATAAACATAATAAACAATAAGATTAATTGAAAGCTTCTTCCTCGTCAACTAAGTTTCTTCACTCTCCACTTCATAATATCAACTTCATTCTAAACAATTAGAAAGAACAAATTATACATATCTTCGCAATCATATAGAATATTAGTTGTTTAAAGAAGATATATTATTTAGAATATTAAATATACCGGGAAAGTAATTATATGTGTGTGGGCGGGTACCCATGGGGCGGGTTTACCAAAACTCAAACCCAATCCAACTCGGTGAATAGTGTAACGGGTTTAAACCTGAACCCGGCCCAAAACCCTTCAACACGGATTTTACCCTCATTGACCGAGTTGGATCGAATGGGTACCCATGGGTTCGGGTTTTGTTGTCATCCCTAAATTGCCAAGAGTAGGTGTATCCATCCACCAAGTCCCCACAAGCTTTCTAGGCCCACTCAACTGGCCCATCTTAATCGTCAAGCTGCCCAATATTTAGACGAAGATTCAACCACGTAGAGCCCAACAAGCCAGTCCGCTCCGCCTACAATTTCTCAACGATGACCCACCTCCAACGTTGCCCATTACAGGGGCGAAGCTAGTTTGGCGGCCGGGGGGCCATGGCCCCCGGGAATTATAAATTAAGTCAAGTAGTAGCGATTAGTAATGCAAAGTTGTATTGTAAACTAGTGGTAAGAATGCTTGATTTGGGAGGATTTGAACCTGTCGTGGACGCAATTTCTGCATTTTGAATTGATTTTTATTATTTATAATTTCCTAATACTGCTTTTAACTATTGTTTCACCCTTTATTATCATTTTCAACAATTTTGGCGGATTTTCTTTTCTGTTGACTGATTTTGAATTTTACTTCCTTTAGTATTTAGTTATTTATTGCTTGTATTATTAGATAATATCTTGTTTTGATTCATTCAATAATTATTTATCTTTGTAAATGTGCATTTTGAATGAAAATAATAAAATTTAGCTACAAAACGTGAAGTCTCTTGATTTAATAGACAAAAAATATTCGAAACATTTACCTTGAATATGATTTTAGGAATGACGAATCTATCTGTCAAAGCAAAAGAATGTGCAATTATTCAAATTTTGGCCACGCACATGGAAATACTGGCCTAGGTGCAGTTTTTCAATTTTTGGCCCCTCCGGAATAGGAATCCTGGCTTCGCCCCTGGCCCATTACCTTTTCTTTTCCAATCAATCACTATTAAAAAGAGAAAAGAACAAAGACAGATAGTCACTAACTGCAGTAGCGATGATCTAATGCGAAACCAAGAAATGAAATCAAACCTCAACACGCAGACCGACAGCAACAGAACATGACGTGTCACACAATGAGCCACTATGTTCCTATCTCGAGCAACGAACACCACCTTGAATTCACTCATCTCATCCAAAACAACACAAATCTCTGGAATAATTGAACCAAACTTGGCGTCATGGAAATCCTTCTCATTGCATTTTTCAATCAATACCTTGGCGCCACCAGCAATTTTCACACTCATGAGTTGCAGACGACAACAGGCTTGTAAACATTCTCGCAAAGCCAACACTTCCAACACATAAACATCTTAAATGTCTTCATACTGCATAGCTTGCGCCCCGCCAACTCCCATGTAACATTAAGAAAAGCGAAAGCGACAGTTCCATACTCTGTTGATGTATATGTGGGCTCCGCCCATTCCCCCTTTCACGTATGTACTGGGTTTGGTGGATTTGGGGTCAGCCAAGAGGCTAGCTAGGGTTTGAGGAACCTAGCTCATATTTATACTGTTTACACTAAAAATTAATAGTGTACCGCATTGATTATTTACAAGACATTAACTGTCTTTATAAGGCCAGATCAACAATAACAATTAATGTTATTTAAATTGGGCCTACGATACTAGATTTTTAAACCCAAACGATTAGGCCTGACATGACACGTGAGAATAAACTAAGTTTGGTGCCTCCTCACGTCAAGCCTCCTCGCGTCAAGTTGGTAGACCGCCTTGTCGCGAAAAACCGCCTTGTCTAAACCACATCGCGAGTCTACAAGATACGTGGGGAGAAGGTCACAAGATAAACGAAGTTCGAGCGCCAAGCCTCCTCGCGTCAGGCCACTTCGCGAGTCCGCCAAGCCTCTACTAAGTCTAAGTACTAAGCCTCCTCGGGTAGAGTTTGGTAGACCGCCTCATCACGTCAAGTTTGGTAAACCACCTCGTAGCGTTGTCATCATGTTTGACAAACCGACTCGTCGCGAGATCTGGAATAGCCATGGTAAAGGAAAGGGCAAGCAACAAGACGTCAGTTCCAAAAGGGAGAACCGGCGGTTTGATTGAGAAACTGTCAATTACTCCACGTTCAAGGACACGTCAGCCACGTCCGGGAAAGAAGGAAAGCAGTTCTTTTTGGAAGTTACTCTCCAGACAGTTTTCTACAACGGTTATCACCTCAGGCCTATAAATAGGAGGAAGAGTTGTCAGAGAAAGGGGTCGCCAAATTCACACCATACAACATAATGTCTAATTTTATCTCTTTATCCTTTCCTCTGCAATTTTAGTCGTAGTCGTAGATCTGGAGCTCTCACTGAACCTCCATAGGAGTAGGGTAATTTAATTTAGATTCTGTCTCGTGATTCGTGTAAACATCGAACACCCTCGTTCGAACTGTGTTTGAAGAGGTGTGAACCGTGTCTTAGTGATCGTTGTCCAAAGAAGTCAAGGTGCATTCAATTCGTTTCAACGCAAGTTTTCTCGCCGGAAAACAAAATTGGCACGCCCGGTGGGACACTTGTGGTCAATTCAATGGCTCCGAGGCGGAGGAACCAAGAAGGTGACGTTCCGGTTGGATTTGTGGAGGAGCAGGTGGCCAACATTGAGCATGGCCAAGCGTCTGACGCGGTGACCGGAGGAAACGGTGGAGCAGAGATCTTGGTGGCAACTGCGCTTGGTGGAGATCTTGGCGAAGCAGTGGGGGCCCTTCGTCAGATGATGGAGGGAACCGCAAGATGGTGGCTGACAACCTTCGAGCCACGGAGGAGAACCGCCAAATGCTGGTGGAGAACCGTCGCATGCTGGAAGAGACTCGGGCGAGTACTCATTAGGTAAATTCTCAAATGGACTGTCTCAATTCTCGCATTGATAGACATTTCAGTCAATTATTTGAGGTGGTTAACAAAAACACACATGAGTTGGATCAGTTTCAACAAACTCTAACTAGACCAGTAGTGCAGTCAAGAGCTTTGCCAGTAGATGAACACAAGCCCAATGCCTACTAATAACGTTCCTTCTCTCGCCGACGGTCGAAATAGCCAACCACGGCAAGAGAACTTGCCGCCTCAGATGGCAAGCCAACCACCTCCACGTCGAGTAGATGATGTTGAGATTCCCGCTACTGCTCAAGTAGGGGAGTCGTCACATGGACGCGTGGGAGTTAAAGTGGTACCCCCGCGTGGTGAGAACCTCGCCGCCATGTTCAACACTCGAGTTGAGCAGCCACCCGTGCAAGTGGGTGCTCGTCCCTCTATCCCAGAGGTAAGAACCTACGTGGCTCCTATGAATTTGGGAGTAGGAGGAGGCCTAGGTGGTAACATGGATCAAATTCCACCTCGAGGCTACCCAACTCCAATGCCACCCCATTTCAATGGGCATGGCATGGACCCTATTGGGTTTGTACCGTATGGGGGGAAACAAGGGGGGCATGAAGCCAACACCCTTAGGGATCAAGTGGCTCAACTCCTCACGGATCAGTTTGGCATGGGAGTTAGACCTTCCATGCCACCTGTATACCGTAAGCCGTACCCAGAATGGGTAGATAGACTTTACCCGTTTCCAAGAGGATTCAGAGTTCCCGAGTTTGCCACATTCACAGGAACTGGAGATCTGTCCACTGTAGAGAACATTGGACGTTTCACTGTCCAATGTGGCGATGTAGGAGATTTTGTTAAGTTAAGACTATTTGGAAACTCGTTGACAGGACCAGCTTTTGCTTGGTACGTCAACTTGCCGTCTAACTCCATCCAGACTTGGCAACATATGGAACAAGTCTTGCACGCTCAGTTTTATAGATCTGAGCTCGAGGTGTCCATGGCTGACTTGGCACGTATGCGCCAACAACCAGGAGAATCGGTTGAGCATTTCTTGACTAACTTCAAGAATGCCCGTAACTGTTGCTTTGTTAATTTGACGGAGAGGGAGTTTTTCAAGCTGGCACAAAGGGGTTTGAGTTTTGAACTACGAAAGAAATTCCAAGATAGGGAGTTCTCTGATTTATTTCAACTCATGTCTTCTGCCGTGAGGTATGAGTCTCTTCTACATGAGGAAGAGAATCGTAAGAGTGCATCAAGGGGATCATACTTCCCAAACTTATACTATACCATCAATCATATTGGCCAGGAGGCCAATGAGGTTGAGGTAGACTTGGTTGAGATAACTCCAGGGAAGTCATACATATGTGCTTCCTTGTCTAAAGTTGAAGAGGGACCACAAGGGGGGAGACCCAATCGTGCTCCCATTCAGCCGAGGAAGGACTCCTTTGACGTCTCCAAGGCAGACTTGATTTTTGACCAACTCTATAAGGATGGTCAAGTCAAGTTGACAAGGGGGCATGTCTTTCCCTCACCCGAGAAATTAAAAGGGAAAAAGC